GGGTTTTGCGAAACTTTACCTGGGGGTGCCTGCTTGTAGGATTTTGCCATCTCCAGTCTATAAATTACATTATCATTATGTGTAGCCCCGAACAGCACATCCATAGAAGCATAAAGCAGATGCCCTACTTGTCTGCGGTACAGTCCAAACAAGACACACTAAAGCTGACCATACATTGTGTGACTTTTGGCCAGTTCTTGATGAATTCACTCAGTGAGTGGCCCTGTCAGCAGCCTTCTGTTCAACATTCTTCGTTCAGAAAATTGCTGAATTGGCATTACTATCCCGGTATTCACACAGAAGCACACCCTCTATTGTCAGAATACAATACCCAAGCATGAGATTCACCCATCCACGCTATTTATTTGAAGCTGTTATACTTTTAGCATTCAACCTGCTGTTTCAATGCAAAAAAATACAACCATGTATGGCCAGCTTTGAAGAAGAACTCCAAAGAAAAATTATTTTAACCCTTGCAGTGGGACCACCCCCACACTGCAAGGGTTAAGTGCTTGTTTTCATATAGAAGTGAAAATAACAAAGTTATGTATAAAGTAAGTTATACTCACCCTAATCTCGCAGCCGGATGGCTGTTAGACTGGTCCCTGGAGTCTGTGCTCTTCTCTGCACCAGCGATGGAATGTCCCTTGGCATCCTCATGTCCAATACAGTGTATTGGAGAGGATGACTCACAGGACCTTAGACCGCCAGAGTGGTGGGGAAGAGAGGCCTCAGGGAATGGTCTAACAGCCAACCGGCTGTGAGATTTGGGTGAGTATAACTTTGCTATTATTGCTCCCAGATGAAAACAAGCATTTAACCCTTGCAGTGCAGGGGTAGCCTCACTGCAAAAGTTAAGATCATTTTCCCCCAGAGTTCACCATACACTATTAGATTTTTTTTCATCCAGCCTGCAGGTTAAATTAAAACAAATCTTAGCAGACTCTTCCATCTACACTAAACAGTGTGGATTGACAAATCTCCTGCTGCAACAGTTTTATTCTGACAGCTGATGCCAGCCTTACCCCTTCCCCTGCCACTGATTGGCTGCAATCACTGTATGGCAGAAACATTTCAGCCAGGCTTCTTCAACAAAAGTCAATTTAGTGATCAATGATTGTCAAGTCCGTAAGAATTCTAGCAGTGTATTGCCAGCCTTAGGCTGCATTCAAACAGGGCAATCTGGCATTCCTGCGACAAGAATCTGCGGCAGGAATATCAGGTGTCCCCGTTCAGATGTGGCCACTTTACCCATTGAAGTAAATAAAAGGGTGTAATCGACAGTCTGCATGAAAACATATATGCAACAATTACATGCAGTTTGGCGTATTGTGGAACCTGGCCTTGGGGCGGGGCTAGTTTCAACATTTTTTTTACTGTTTCTTTATTTTTATCACTTTTTATTCAATTATTTCTTATTATTATTATTTTGTTTTAATTAAATTTTTTTATCAATTTAATTTTTTTTTATTTTTGTTTATCTTTTTACTTTTTTAATTTACTTTTTTTTATAGTTTTTATCTTATTGTTTATTTTTTATAATTATTTTCTTTTTTTTTACTTTTTTTTTTTTTTTTAAATCAATGTCATTTTCCCCCCCACCTAACTTTATTGCTATCACACAGGAGATAAGAAGAGAAACATAATAACTATTAATCACTTTGATCATTTCAACAGTTCATATTGTAGCTTTGCATTCATGGTGAATAAAGTATTAGATCATGTGCTTACCAGTCACGGTAGATTAGGAATCACTGCTTTCCAGACTGGTTTTGCCTTTAATGGCAGCTACATCAGGGGAAACATATAAAACAATTGTCTACTCTTGAATGTGTAGGATTTGCAGTATATTTTAATATTGCAGGGGATCACAGCATTCGCACAATTAGCTTTATAGTAGAAATATACACTATATGCTGATAATGAATAACTTTGCAATATGGTACACAGTGATGGTAATTTTAGATTGTATTGTTATACAGGATTTATATAATGTCAACAGTTTGCGATAACAGTATCCTTTACAATATAAGGAAGACATTACAATCACAATACAATTCAAGACTAGATGGTAAGTAGGGCCCTGCCCCTGAGGGCTTACAATATAAAAGCAGTTATCATTTTAATGTCATTATTTCATTATCTGGCCAGTTTCTAATGAAGTATGGGTGCTACTTTCATGTATACATCCTCTTAAAGTGTTTAAGTGTTCTTAAATTAAAAATGCAGGTGTCAATACTGGTTGACACATTGCTTGATATAACTAACATACTGCAAGGCATGCTAAAGTCTAAACAAATCATAAAAGAATAATAGTATATAGTGAAGGGAGGTATAGCATGTATTGAGAGTTGATCCAAGTTGATAGAGAAAAATATATAGAGGGATATGAAGATCTCAACGCGTTTCACAGTATAGACCACTTCTTTAGGAGCAGCAAGGCAGAGAATGTACGGTGGGTATAGAAAAGGATCACCCCCCTCTTTAAAATAATCACATTTTGTTGTTTTGCATCCTGAAGACAAAGTTTTTGTTTTATCCAGCTGTATTTACTCGGTGCAGCTTATAACATCCAAGTGAAAGATATAACACCAACATATCAGAAAAAAAAAAATCAAAAACAGAATCACTGAGTTGGAAAAAAGATCACCCCCTGGTGTCAGTATTTTGTTGAACCACCTTTTGCTTTAATTACAGCTTTTAGTCTGTTAGGATATGTCTCTACTAACTTTCCACATCTAGACATTGCAATATTTGCCCACTCTTCTTTGCAGAACTGCTCAAGTGCAGTTAAATTTGATAGTGACCGTTTGTGGACTGCAGTCTTCAAGTTATTCCACAGATTTTCAATGGGGTTTAAAGTGACATTAAACCCTCAGATTTTTTAACATAAACCAATACTGTAATGTGTGCGTTACTGTAATCCATGGGTGTTTCCCTTCTCTTTGCTGCTCTTCCTTTTAAATCCTCATGTCTTCTCATGCTTGGGGAGAACTTCCATTTTCAGCTCAGGGCCTCTTCCTGTAGTGCTGGCTCAGGTTTCAAGCCTATACAAACTTATACACAGACACCGTGTATCCATTCCTGAGACAAGGCAGTCTGCTGCAAAACAGAAGTTCTGCCCAGCATGAGAACAGATACAGATTTAAAAGGAAGAGCAGCAAAGAGAAGGGAAACAACCATGGATTACAGTAAGGCACACATTACAGTATTGTTTTATGTTAAACAATCTGAGGGTTTAATGTCACTTTAAGTCTGGGCCCTGACTAGGCCATGGAAGGACATTCATGTTTTTCTCCTTCAACCACTGTGTGGTCATTTTTGCCGTGTGCTTTGGGTCATTGTCATGTTGGAAAGTAAACCTTCTTCCCATTGACAACTTTCTGGCAGAGGGCAGCAGATTTTCCTCAAGAATTTGATGGTATTTTGCCCCATACATTTTTCCTTCTATCCTGACAAGTGCTTCAGTCCCTGCTGCAGAGAAACACCCCCATAACAGGATATTACCACCTCCATGCTTTACTATAGGAATGGTGTTATTTGGATGGTGAGCTGTATTGGATTTGAGGCCAAACAATTCAATTTTAGTCTCATCTGACCATAACACCTTTTTCCATGTGGCCTCAGAATCTTCAAGGTACGTTTTGGCAAAGCTCAGTCATGACTGCATGTGGCCTTTCTTGAGGAGTGGCTTTTTTCTTGTAATCCTCCAATACAAGCCACATTTGTGGATAATTTGTGACATTGTCACATGCACACAATGACCACTCTGTCATAAATTCCTGCAACTGCTTCAGAGTTGCTGTAGGCCTCTTGGTAGCCTCTCTGACCAGTTTCCTCCTGGCTCTTTTATCCAGTTCGGAGCGACGTCCTGATCCAGGGAGGGTCTGTGTTGTACCAAATACTGTCCACTTCTTAATAATAGAGTTCACTGTGCTTTCTAGGCATTGCTAAAGCCTTTGACATTTTGTTATATCCATCACTTGACTTGTGCCTGTCTACAACTTTATCCCAGATATCTTTTGACAGTGCCTTGCCACCCATAGTTGATTGTTCGCTTCAGTTGCACTATCAGGGACTGAGAGACTCCAGGAAAGCTATTTTCATGCTGAGCTAATCAAAATGACCACACAGCTGATCACAGTTGAAAGTCAAATGGCTTTGTGTGCCATTGAGATGGTGATTAGCTAAACCTGATTTAGTTTACAAGTCATTTTTAGGAGGGGTGATCCTTTTTCCAGTGATTCTGTTTTTGAATTTTTTTATGACATGTTGGTGTTATATCTTTCACATGGATGTTATAAGTTGCACTGAGTAAATACAGCTGGATAAAACAAAAACTGTGTATGTCTTCATTTCAGGCTGCAAAGCAACAAACTGTGATTATTTTAAAGGGGGGAGGTGATTCTTTTCTATACGCTCTGTACTTATAGGGCTTGACTTAAACCGTCAAAATCCACAGCCACAAATTGCTCTAAATGGGTGCTAGTGCCTCCAGACAGGTTGGTGGGCACCAGGACACATAAACCACAGTCTCCTCTGTTCTAACATATAGATGAATATCCCCCAAAACGGGAAGAGAGAGAAAAGGGGGAGCCCGATGGAGTCACACACCATGGGCACAGGGCAAGGGTGTAGTCGATTCAAATGACTTGCTTGTCACAGGAGTGTACTATTCCCATAAGAAAGTTCCTAGCGGTCAGACCACCCTTCTCCTGTCCTTCATTCTCATATCTAGCTCAGTGTCTGATTAATGGTATGCCATCCAAGCTCCCATCAGTAGCATGGCCCCATAAAAGGATAATAACAAATGCCTTCAGAATAGATTTTGGTTGTCTTTATAGCAAAGTATTTGCTTGCTGTATCCTGTATGGGAGGTGGTAAACTGAGCTCCAGTGGGAACAGTTACATTTTGTACATACTTGTTTTTCTACATAAAAAAACCTGAAAATGCATTTTTTTAAACAATATATTGACATTAGCTCTGTGTTTGTACTTAGGTGAAATAAAAGGTCACACTGTAGTTGACATTGGTTCGGGTCCTACAATTTACCAGTTGCTGAGCACTTTTGAGCACTTCGATGAGGTTATCATGACTGATTATCTGGAGGTGAATCGAGAAGAACTGAAGAAGTGGCTTAAAAATGAACCTGACACTTTTAACTGGAGCCCATACTTTCAACATGTCTGTAAACTGGAGGGAAAAGGGTAAGAAGGATGTTCGCCAATACCATATTGACACTCCTTGATAATATTGACTAAAGATGAAAAAAATGTGCTAAGCAGAAATGAGAACTACTGTTGGATAGCTATGACCAGACATTGTTTACCTTATATGTTTAAAGTGACCAATGCCCAGATCCTACTAAAGTATTTTTATATTCTGAACAAACAGTAAAAACACTTTAACACAAGTCCTCATTCATCTCTGTATCAAAAAGCATTGTGGAGAAATGAATTCTAACGTTCACAACACAGACACTGTGGGTTTTTTTTATGAGAGCAGAATCTTGGCAGAATGCAAGCCCTCTAATGTAAGCAATCAGCAGATTTTTATAAGCTGTTAGAAACTGTTTGAAACCTGACTTTTGAGTCTTTTTGTGATCTTTTGGGAATTACTTCACATTAAGGGGTGGTTCACACCACTTTGGTGGAATGCACTGGATTGCATCCTGGCCGGCTCCCTGAGTTCTTGGGCAGGAGGGGGCATGGTGCATTCAAGGCGTGGCACTATTTTTTGCGATCGCACTGGACCAGAATGCAGGAATTTATGTGACAAACATTCTGGTACAGGCGAGCGCACTGCAGGCAGGGAGGCATGGCAGCGGTGTCATTGACCTGATTGCACCACCACTCCGCCTCCTGCAGGGAGCCCACCAGGATGCGATCCAGTGTGTTCCCGCAGCTAACTGCACTGGAATGCACTGTAAGCCTCATTTACACCTGTGATTAGGACCAACAGCAGAAAAAAATGACAGTTGGAGGCAGATAGTTGCAGATCAGCCCATAAAGAGCAATGAGAGGCTGGCAGCTTTAAACAGTTTACAGCCAGGGGTAATCATCTCGTTCTCCACGTGCAATTACTCTCTGGCTGCCGTGACTGTCTACCACCACCTGTCACCCCAGCCATAGGAATTAACTGGATTCCTGACTTCTGTCATCTCAAATCACAGGTGTGAAAAGCCTAACAGTGGCTGGAAAGGTCGGTGATGGCTTGTTTTGCTGTTTGTTAAAGAAATATCACAAGAAATGAAAAATGTTTGTTAAATCCCCCTGTGCACCCAGTGCACAGCACACTTGCCCCCATTTAAAACTGGGCAGGGGTTTAGATTAAAAAAAACAAACACATTTTTATTTCTTTCAGTGTTGGCTTTAGTTGCTCCCTAGGCTAAATCCCAATTTATGGGTGTCCCTTTAGAGGAGATCGACCAGCACTGATGCCTCCCCCCCTCTCCATTCTGCAGCCTTCCATGTAATCTTATAGCACTGTGCCATCTTCCTGGTACAGAAAAGATTTCCAAAAGATGTAATTGTACTGGCAGAAAAGACAGACTAGTGTAGTACCTCCTGGCATATGTTTTTCTGAATGACTGCTCTTCTGCAGCCACCATCATTCACAACAACACAAGCAGACAATTACAACTGTACTCTTTCCACTCCCAAATAGCAGGCGGCTGGGCTCTGCTTTCTTCGCTTTCACTATGAAGAAGCATTCAGAGAGAAGAAGAGGCACAGCATTGCAGATTTTCCATCTGGCAGCTTAGGAGGAATTGGGAGGGGAGGGCAGTGGACTGCACTGTCAAAACTACCAGCTCTTCTTTATCCAGTGTTGTTGGATAGTGGTGGGAGGACCAACAACGCTGCTCAGCAACCTCTGCACAGATTTGAAAGGGGACAAGTGCATGTGCACTGGATCCCCTGGGTGTGTGGTTACAGTAGGGTTAACAAACATTTTTGGCTTCTTGTAATACTTCTTTAAAAATATTTAAAAATGTAATATCCATAATCTAGGCACAGGCTCACTTTAAATTTGAATTACTGAGGCTCTATTAGTGCTAAAAAGAGAATGGTAAATAATTTGTCTTACAAACTTTCCTGACTTTCTAACATATACTAAAGGAGAAAATGTGTGTGTAAAAAGTGCAGACTGTCCCTGAGATAGCGTTTCAAAGGGTTAGTACAAATATATTTCCATGGTGGTGTTCCCCCAGTACAGTTATGGTATGGTAAAATCTCTAACATGCAAGGAGAACATGAAAGTATCTTCTGCAGATGTTGGTCTCTGTACTCTTCCAGTAGATGTGAGACAGGAGCGTTTAAGGAAGTGGAACAAAGTTGTCACTCAAAGTCCCTGTGAAGTTCCTCTTTATTAAATAGGTGCAGCTAGCTACAAAGCAGGTCCTTTTCAGCAAAAGGATCCCTGAACATACATTTTATCATACATACATATAGATTCAATTGTAGCCTTTTCCTCCACAGGGAGCCATGGCAAAGCAAAGAAAGACGTTTTCGGGAGCGAGTAACACGAGTGATACCTTTGGATATCCATCAGCCTTGCCCCCTGGGAAAGGAACTTGCCAGTGGTTCAGTGGACTGTCTGGTATCCTCTTTTTGTCTTGAGGCATGCAGCCCTGACCTTGAAACTTTTCAGAGAGCCCTTGAAAACATAGTTGGAATCCTCAAGCCACAGGGTAATTTTTTGTGGATTGGGGCTTTAGAAGAGTCCTATTACTTAGCCGGAGAAGCACGACTGACTGTGGTGCCTGTCACAGAAGAGATGGTGAAGACGGCACTGGGCACTGCCAAGTGCATCATTAAAGAATTTCGCACCTACTCAATGACTCCTGCTATGAAAGTTGGAGTGGATGATGTGAATGGGATTTTCTTTGTCTGGGCGCAGAAAGAAGCTAACAAATAAAATCTATGTCATGTGTCAAATAAACACCTCAAAAGAAAATCTAATGTGTGTAATCTATCCCTTGTACCATTGCATTACATATATACACTGAGTGGCCAGATTATTATGACCACCTGACGTTTGTAGTCAAATTAGCTATAATTTTGTGCTGAAGTTGCTAGAGGGTCAGACCATTATAAATAGGGAAGCAGGTTGCTTACCATGACATTAGAAGTGATCTTTTTCTGAAGTATAAAGATTGTAGCCGACAAAGTTTCCATCAGTCAGGGATTAGCTGGGATAATTCGAAAGCAGGTTAGAAAATGTCACATGCCTGCAATCGCTCCCATAAACTTAGTCATGGCTTACACTGGTCATACTGTTTTGCAATTGATTTTATGACCAGGGTAATATGGGTAGTATATGTATGACAAATATTAAAGTGTTTTCCATATTCAGATTCTTTCAATACATGTACAATTGTGTGCTGGTCAGGTGTAAAATTTAGCAAAAGTTTAAAAATAGTAATCACTGGACTAGTACTGTACTGATGAAAAGCTTTTTTTTTTTTAACTTCCTCTGGTACCCAGTCGGAGCCGGCTTGCTGGCCAATCATGGAAGCCGGGCACCGTGTAATGACGTGGCGCCCTGCTCTCTCATTGAAGCCGGCTTCCCGGCCAATCAGAATGTCGGTCGCTGTGTCATTACACGGCGCCCAGCTTCCTGATTGGCCAGCTTCCCGACCAATCAGGAAGCCGGGCAGCACGCCATTCATTACATGCTGTCCGGCTTCTTGATTGGCCGGGAAGTCGGCTCCATGCTCTCTCATCACAAGTGACGAGAGAGCATGGAGCCGCTTCCCGGCCAATCAGGAAACAGGGCAGCGTGTAATGACGCACTGCCTGGCTTCCTGCTACAGGAAGTATCGGGCTAGGCATCAGAGCATTTGGGCGAGTACGTGTACTCGCCCAAATACTCGGTATCGGCACTGATATCGATACTAGTATCGTTATGTCCCTACTTGTAACCTAACGCATCCCACCCACTTCCAGGTGCCATTGTAACAAGATAATCAATGTTACTTACTTCACCTCTCAGTGGCCATAATGTTATGATCGGTGTATGTCCCCATACATATGTTATGTCAGGTTTGAAGGATTTATAGAAACCTATCCATATATCTTTTGATTTCACAAGGGGAGTATGGCTGTAAAACCAGGTAGTATATTTATTGTTAATAATAAGTATCTTTTGTAATACAAAAATTAGGAACCATCACACAAACTGGTACACCACCCCTATATATGCAATATATATCAAAAAAAGGGGGAAAGAGAAAGAAAGGGGCTTTGTGGTGACCACTGGAGAATAGCAGGGAATTGATCCAATAATAAAGTCAATTGATTCATATATATAATAAAATTCAATTTTTAATATACTCAATTCATAATGTCTATATATATAAATATGCTAAAATTATCCATATAAAAAAACATAAATAGATGTATACAACATAAATAACCTCCCTGGAACCCACACAGAAACCATGATTATAAATTCATATATTGGTCATTGCCCTCATTGTATTCATATCTTATTTGCATGATTAATTGTACATAATTGTTCTATATATCATTAGTTCAGCCATGATTCTGTGCTTGCTCCAGTCTTCAACGCGTTTCGCCGAGGCTTCGTCAGGAAGATTTGGAGAGGTTAACCTATAGTATTTGTATGGGTATGAGAATCAATTTGCAATAGTCTACATGATATTAGATATCATGCAAGGACTGGTAACCTGAAAACTAGTGTTATCTTCATTTTAGATGTCAAAAGGGTTTTGTGGCTCCCAGTGTTTTCTTTTCTGTGGGAAACGGGTCCAAATGGCTCTTTGAGTGTTCAAGGTTGCTGACCCCTGGTCTAGGACATCATAGCTGAACTGTAAAGTGAGGTGAATTGGAAAATATGTTTCCAAATCAGCAATTTTGGCCTGGACTGTTCACTTCTCCAAATCCTTCACCCTGTAAGTCTATCCACTGCTCCACCTTTCCTTTTCAAAAAAAGTGTCCTCCCTCAACCTCTCACTTCTTTAGCTTATATAGGTCACCTTCACTCCTTCCCCCTTGCTATTTCTGCATTGATCACAACCTGCTTATTCTGAACCCACATGCTGACAACCTTCAGGACATTGGAGCATGTGTATGAATATAAATCTTGTTCCAATCTTTCTTCCCTCATTCTGCTGCTCCTAACTTCTGGGGATATTTCTCCTTCTCCTACTAAAAATTAAAATAATGATTCGCATCAATATAAAATCAAAGCTGCAAGCACTAAAAGTGATCTGACTCACATTTTTCTCCAAAAATCAATAAATATGTGTGCTGCGCTAAATAAGCTCACCAACCTAAGACAAATAAAGGTTAAAAATCGATACATTTCATGTATCTTTCAATACCCTGCATGGGATTTGTTTGTATATATACAATCACTGATTTAGTACATACGTATTAATATAATCCAAAATGACATGATGTTGATCACAGAATTGACAGCGATACATTTGACCCATATAGTAGCTTAACTTAATAGGTCCCAACGCGTTTCGCCAGCGGCTTCATCAGGGGACCCAAAAAGATAGATCATGCAGGGTTAGTTCGCGAGGCAAGGGAGACACCTGGAGGATCGGGAAAGCCGAGGCTGGAATGCCTAACGGAGATCACCATGGAGGCATGCTGCTAGACTCACACCACCAGGGAGATTCAATAGGATCACATTAACACCCAGCCGGGCCTTCTCCTAACATACCTCATCTTTGATAAGCATCTCAGAGGAGTTGGCTGGACAACTTTGATGTCATCTTTCCTTGTGTAGCCTTGAGGTCCCAGGTGTGACAAAAAGGAGATTTTGGATTTGGCGGTGGGGCATTCCAGCCTCCGCTTTCCCGATCCTCCAGGTGTATAGAGCCTATAGAACTAAAATGAAATGTCACTTGTGATATTTCAGTAAAGTTCTAACAAAAAAACCCCAAAAACAGTACAAGGTGGCTTAATCCAGTGCATCAGCGCTGTCCAGGCACACCAGCAGCCATGCAATTGACAACCACGAAGTATATCCACTGTGATCAAACCCCTCAGAGATCTACTCACCTCCTAAAAAGACCTCAAGAGAAAGGTCCAACAAGGCTGTTCCCTATTGGTACTGGCTGGGATTTTACGCAAATCTGGAAACACCTGCTGCAACTTCCTGTCCGCTATTCTCTGACCGGATGAGGGGCAGTGACGTCAGAGATAATTTATATACAGTATATTTGCATTGCGCAGGGCTGTGGAATTCCTATTGCCCGGGACATGCAGTTCCAGGTGCCGGGCAGGTATTTTTCTTCTACGTTTAGCCCTGCTAAATGTAGACTAGGGGAGCAGTTTTGTACAAGCAGCCTGCTTGTTCACCCTCCTTGGTTTTCAGAGTCCCTGCTCTTCTGGGGAATCCAGGACCACAGGAAATTATGTCAGGATAGAGAGCAGGTCAGAGAACGTCCATGCTCCGATCTGCTCTGTGTGATCAGTGAGACAGGAGCGCTGTACTCACAGCCTTACTGCTTCAGCTGCACAGGCGGTTGAGCACAATGCTGTGCTTGATCGCCTGTATTGGAGGGTAGCCTGAATAATTAGAGCATGCCAACACACAACGGCTTATTAGCCTGGCACTCAGCGCTCTCTATTCGTGGCTTCCTGTACTCGAGATTGCGGTCGCAGACAGGGCTGTGGACACTTACTGTGAAGCTTTTTTTATGTCCTTTGAAGCCCAGTACTGTACAGTATTACTGTAATGAAGGCAACAAGAATGCGTAGAGCAAGAATTGTGGTAAAAAGAAACTTGTATTTAAATTTTTTTTTTTTCATATGGTTCAGAACAGATTGACCTTATTTACATTGCACCCTCTGGGGAAAATGTGATTCGGTTCACAACCAAAAGTCAGTTCGCGACCATGTTCGTAGGGGTCAGAACGGATTAACCTGATTTACATTGATCCCTATGGGAAAATGCGATTTGGTTCACAACCAATTCGGTTTTGCGACCAGAATCGTGGAACCAATTAAGTTCGTGAACCGTGGTACCATTGTACTTATCTTTTATGAATGGTCCTTTCCCTCTGCTGGTATGGGTGTACAAACTGCACTCCATACTGCCATCCAGCACAGCCCTGCACTAAGGATTTTGAATTTCGCTCTTGCGACTTGCGTCACATAACCGCGCTGACCAATGAAAGGCGCTTCTTAGCATGGCTAAATACGGTCTGGATACAAAAACAAAAAAAATTTTGTATCAGGCCATAGTAGATTGTCATGAGGAACATGAAGATTGGGCCCCTGCTTTAGTCCTTGGACAAGTTGTTTTTTTAAAGAAAAAAAAAAAAAGAAACACTGTTGTGCCAAGCTGGACCAATATATATTCCAATATAGGAAAATAAATTTATATATATATATATATACACAGTATATATCATTATATTTAGCTTGAATTCAGCTTTAAACATGTGTTGGTGGTTTGCATTGGAACTTGTTTGGCTTGAAAAATTGCTTGTGTGGGCTCAAAATAGTGTCACTTGTTTCTGATGTTACATTGCTGCTTATTTGATGACTGAAAAAAACTGTTTTTTTTTTTTACATGAAGTACTTGGTGCAGAACAACTTTTGCTGCACTATGTCCTGAATAATTTTGCTAATGTCTGAGTTGGGGACTACAGCACAAGGCATTTTATTGAGACTGTTTGGTGAGCACTCAGTGGACAGCTTCAATACATTGAGACACTAGCCTAGAGCAAGCGTGCATATCAGGAAAGTCATAACTCCTAACCTGCATGCATCTTTTAAGTTAGTGACTAAGGAAATACAGAAGCTACTTGATCAGTATGACAGCAGGGAACTAGTACTTTTTCAGAAGGAAAGGACAGTCTCCATACTTCCTGTCCACAGGTTTCCTTTAATGCTTTATCATTAAGAGATAATAAACCAATGGCACTTCCCAATTACTTTATTAAGTCCGCAAGGTGATACAAAAAAAAAAAAGCTAGGGATGCACCGATACAAGCATCGGTATCGGCCGCGATACCGAGTATTTGCATGGGTACTCGTGCAAATGCTCTGATGTCCAAAACGAGTACCTGTGTCCGCCATCTTCCACCGCCGCACACAGCACACAGGACCGCGTCTGCATTCATGCAAGATGGCCGCGAACTCCTTCTCCACGGGCGAACGGCCGAAACCAGACTCCGCCTTCAATTCCTCTGTCCTCACTCGTGATTGGTGGGGAAGCCTGTCAATCATCCAATCAGCGTGAGAAGAG